TCCCTAAAATGTATAGTGAAATATTACAAGATCATTATTAATGCATAGATAACTGTGGGACATTACACACCCACCAGTGGTGGTTTCAAAAAATTTTGGAACCTCTTCTGTAGGTGTGGCCTGCTTTCCGGGTCCACTGGTGGAACTTCTTCTAACTGGTTTGGTAGATTTGACAAACCGGTTCTACCGAATAGGTGCGAACTGGTAGGAACCCACCTCTGGTCTGTGGTCATCTGACTGCTGGGAAGTAAGATTCAGGAAGTGACCGGAGGCCATAGTCCAATATCTCATGTGCTTCCCATGAGGCTATTTTTAAGATTGTCTGCATGGCTATGCGTGCTTGTATAGACAAAGAAAGATACAAAGAATGAAGGAGAATAACCACAATTTAAGGAGTCATTGGGTTTGAGTCTATGAGCACACCGATATCCAAGGGAATCCTCAATCTAAAAATCTAAAATCCTCAATTTTCCGACAGTTAGAACAAATAATCAGTGGAACAACTTGCCTTCAGAAGTGGGTGCTTCAACACTGGAGATTTTTTAAAGAAGAGATTGGACGACCATTTGTCTAAAATGGTATAGAGTTTCCTGTTTGAGCAGGGGGCTGGACTAGAAGATCTCCAGGGTACTTTCCAACTCAGTTATTCTATCTTCAAGAAGCTGTTTTGCGAGGTCTGCCCATTATTATTTTTCTCCCTCTTTTTATCTGTGCTACTTCTGAAACTCTTGAAATTCTCCCAGGCTTACTTAAACTGTGCTTGGATTTAGTCTTATGCTTAGATTATGTTATTTTGTATACAGGAGCAGACATTCAGACAAAGTGTTCACAAATGATATTTAGACTTAACTAACGGAAGAATTTTTAACAATAGTCATATCACAAAACAATCACTGTTTTGAAGCTGTACCAATTTCTACGTAACCGATGATCAAAAAAAGGAATCTCAGCTAAAAGTATTAATTTTAAAGAGTTAAATGCGTTATTCTTTTTCCATTGTTATATATTGCTTCAGAATCTATTACTGTATTTTAACTCTGTTGAAACAAATTTCCTAAATTATATTTTGTAGGGTATAAGAAATGAAAATATTAAATATAACTTCATAAAAATGCTTATAGATGTCTCTATAGTTTTCTAATTAGACACAGACAATTGCTGTATCTTACATAAATGGAGCACTGAGATTTAAGTTATTCTGCTCCAGCAAAATATTCTTGACCAAAAGGATAATACAAAAGGTGTTTGATTCAGGCAAAGCTGGCCTGGGGCAATCTTTTTCTTGTGACTCATCTTGAATACACATTTATAGGCCAACTCTTTCTCCGCAATATAATTGTATCTGACCAATGGAAGCCCTATTAAATTTTAATTTGTTGGCGATATATTTGCTTTCTATTAAAAATGAAGCATGTTTACTTTCCCTTAAACATGGGTGTATTTGTGTATGAAGAGAGATAGAACTCAATCTCCCGTGCCAATTTTACAGCGTGTTTATATGCTCTGCCACAGACATGGATATGAACAAAGGAAATGAATACAAATAAATGGGGATAGTAGGACAGGGACAGTAGGCACGCTGGTGCGCTTATGCACGCCCCCTAGAGACCTCTTAGGAAAGGGGTGAAGTCCACTCCAGATAGTTTAAAGTTAAAGCTATGGGGGTTTGAGGATATAACAACGGAGTCAGGGAGAGCATTCCAGGCGTTGACCACTCTGTTGCTCTATGGCGGGCGCGGCGGTATGATTTAAAGTCCAAGTGCAGTGGCATGGCTTTAAAAAATAAAAAATAAAGTGCCAATCTGCGCACCAGCAGAGGCAGGTAAAACACACACACAAACACACACACACACACAAACACACATTACTTATAATAATACAAATTATTGGTTGATTCCTTTCATCCTATGATTCAGTAAATAAACCCTTAAATAATTAGAGTATATTATTTTTGTAGGCACAAATCTCCTACCTCTGCTTTTCTTTTTTCCCCCTTACTTCAAATTTTCTATCCTGCCTATCCATCCATCCATCCATCCATCCATCCATCCATCCATCCATCCATCCATCCATCCATCCATCC